TACTTATTTACTGAAATGAACTTTTATATCTAAATTGCATTCTAGATTTGTAACGTGTTTGTGTTAGCATTTGTAGTAGAGGAGCTTACCCAACATGACATGGTGCAGAAAGTAAGCATTTCACTCTGCTCATTCTAATTTGTCATAGATTTGCTTGAATATCCTGCAAAGCATTTGTACTGTAACACAAACTATAAGCCATGTTTATGCATGACATGAGGAGCATCAGACATGGCCTGCTGAGTTTGGAAGCAACAGACCTCTAGGGCAACAAGTCACAGTGCACAAATAAATGTTATGTTGATGCAGCAGCTGAATTTTAAACAAAACCAAATCCTCTGTGGGCTGTTTTCCTAATGATTAGCACACACTCATGAAGAGGAGACCTTCACAGACCTTTTTCAGGAAAATGAAAATTTATCAGTCTGGTTTCACATTTTTTTCCTACATTATCCTTGACCTCTTTTTTTTCTGCACCCATGGACTCTGCCAGTCTTTCTCCCCTCTTCTGTTGTGCGAGCAGCAGACCACCGTTCAGCTTGGGCTGTTCAGAGACCTGGCCCAGTGATGCACAGCAGAACACTACAAATGGCAAGAGAGCAAATGCAGCACCTCTGGGGTTAAGGAAAGAAGTAATGTTATCTGCCATATTTTTTTCTGATTTTTTGTGAAATTTTTAACCTAGTCTCAGTCCTGACTATTAGATAGGAGAGAACAGACTCTACTTTTGTTGCCTATTCATCTCTCTCTAGTTCTTCAGTAGTGCCTTACTGATCTGATGTTTGATTCTTGTTTCAGTTAGTGTGTATCATAAGATGCTGTCCTTCCCTGAATTCCCCGATAGTTTGTAAGTGTAGGAAGCCCACAGCAGGGAGTTGCACTTTTGATTGTGGCAGAGCAGTGATTGTGATCATCTTGCTGTGTCCTAGGAATCATAGAATCACAGAATGGTTTGGGTTGGAAGGGACCTTAAAGATCATCTAGTTCCAACCCCTCTGCCATGGGCAGGGGCACCCTCCCCCAGACCAAGGTGGTC